CCATTTGTCTTCAGTGATCTGTTCGACACCTCGTGATCACACAGGTTGATATGTTGTTCCATGTGGGCTTTGTTGCTTCTGAGCTAGATGGCCTCTTGTTTACCTGCCCTATGGTTTCTAGGGGGTATATTCTCCCTCGTGGCAAAGAGTCAGTAAACTAGTTTTGTTCAATTCCAGGTGCTGGTGGGTGGAGGGCATTGATGCCTAGGTCAGCTTCTGAAAAGGATCTACAACCCAAGCTGACTAGCCTCACCTGACATACATGACCTGCAATCTGAAGAAGGGCCTTCCTTTTGAGAGGTTATTATAGCACGTAGGTTTCCTTCTCCCGATCTTCTGGACAACCATCTTTTGTCTACCCCTTTCCCTCATCTCTCCACCACCTCCACCCAGTTCCCACTCAGGAAGCTGAGAAGCTGGGAAGGGAAGGCTTCTCATCTTTGGTTCCTTTGTAGAAAAACGTCTTCAAGGAGGTTCCCACACTCCCCGTCTCCAAACAGCCTCCTCTTTCCAGTCTCAAGCCGCTCCAAGCAGGTCATGCTTGTTGTTCAACCTAAACCGGTTTGCAAAAGTCACCAGTGACCTCCATATTGTTAACTCCAATGGCCAAGTCCACTTGACTTCGCATCTTTGTCCTATTTGATACAATCAATCACTCTTCCTCCTTCTGAATCTCTTTTGTCAACTGGCTTGTAGGACATCTCACTCTTGATTTTTCTCCTAGTGGAAAAGATGCTCTTTTTTTCTATCTCCTTTGTGTTTTTCCCTCTTTTCCCTGGCAACGTAGTGTTCCAAGGGCCAACCGTTGGCCCCGCCTCTGGCTGTACTCACATCCCTGGTGACTACATCTGACCTAATGCTTTTAACTTACGGACGATGCCTAAGTTCTAGTTCTAGTTCAAAACTCTCTCTCGATTGTCAAACCTGAACACCAATTGCCTTCATGGTTCTTCCAATTAGGTGGTTAATCGAGCTCTTCTCAAACTCAACCTGTCCTGAACTGACCCCTTGTCTCCTAGCTTTGAACTGCCCCAATTTGTTCCATATATATCGTCTCAATCACAGGTAATGGCAGCTCCATCCGTTCCGTTGCTCAGTGCCAAAATCATGGCGTTGTTCTAAACTCTTCTCTTTCTCTCATGTTATTGAGTGCTGGTGAGTTGGTTCCAGCTCATATGGACCCTGTGTGCCACAGAAAATGTGGCCCAGTCTTGCGACATCCTCCATAAGTAACATAACTGGTGTCCTATCTATTAGGGAATCCAGTAGAATCTACTTTAAAAATATACCCATATGGGAACTACTCTTGAACACTTCCACTGCTACCACCCCATTCTGAGACTCCAATGTATCTTCCTGGCTTGTTGTAGCAGCCATCTCACTTATTTCTTTACTTCTACTCTTGCTTTATTCTCAAGACAACAGGTACAGTGGCCATTCAATAGGGCACACAAATCATGTCACTTCTCTGCCCAGATTCTGCACTAGCTCCATTTCCCTCTGAATAAAGGCACAGTCTCTCACAGGTGTGCATGATCTGGTCTCTGTCCGCTCTTTGGTCTCCTCTTCACCTACCATTGCTCATTCTGTGCCTGTTACACTGGCCTCTTTGTTCTCCATGTAACTCACCAGCCATGCTCCTACTTTGGGGCTTGCCTTAAAAGGAACTGCTTTCCCTAAGTTAAATGCTAATCTTTTCACATCCGTCAAGACCTTGCTCAACACTCATTCTTTCAACGAGAGCCATCTGAGCTGATTATTTTAAAATGGCAACCACTTCCCATACACTCCCAATATCCCTTAATCAGCTACCCAAACCATTCCAAACCAACTCCCTACTGATTATTGTCTTTATTGCATATTGTCTGTTTCCTCTAGCTGGGATCTAAGTTCTAGGTGCGAGACTCCAGAGACCAAGTACCTAGAATTGTGCCCTTCCCCCCACGGTTACCAACCAAAACCTGTTTGTTAAATGCTGTGGGATAAATCCCTGAAGGCAGGGACTGGGAGGTAAGACCGAACACGAGTTCGGCTCAGGGTCACTCACTGAGCAATAAGGGGCGGGCCCGCCTCCTCACTGTGTGCCTGGCACACATAATCAACTCCACATTTCCCCTTAAGTCACAGTTTCCTACATTTCAACCATTTGCATGCCAACCTTGGGATTTTTGCCCTAAGGAGAACATATACTTTTATTTATGGAACATCCCCCCTGCCCCCTTAAATAGGCTTACTTTTGAACTTCAATAGATTTATTTATATTTTAACAGAACATTTGCATCACTGTTCGTGATATTTTCCCTCTAAAAGCATGTTAAAATAAACACGTAGCTATTAAGATAAATAATGTTTATCTCGACCACCTAAAATCATCTTGTTTAATCCGTCCGGGAAAGCTGCTCCAGGCTTTCTTCCTCAACCAGTAAAGTCCCTCCTGGCCCCTCCACCTTCCCTGATCCTGTCAAACCTTCCTTCTCCTGGCAGCCCCAGGCAGGTTCTCCAACGCTGCGACACCATCAAACTTACAGGCAGAAAGGCCTTGTTGAGCGCTTGGGTGTTTTCATGTCCTTGTTTTCTCTTGTTTCACACCACAAGGTCATGGCCTGTGGTCTCAGACGTGTAGCTCACGAACACTGCAATGTGCTCAACTCCTTGGCTTTGTAGATAGCAAAGCGACAAAGGTGCTTGTCCCAAACCACTGCCAATCAGAGGCAAAGCCATGATTAGACTCCAGGTCTTCTGATTCCTCACGTTCCTTATATTCGTCTACAGTATTCATTGCATCCATATCATGCGCCAGGCATAGGAGACAGTGGTAAATAGACCGACTCAGACCTTGTCCACAGGAACTTACCGTACAACCAGGAAGCTGCACACTGAGCAATGGCCAGTGCATAAGAGCCCTGGAAGAGAAGTATGGGGGGCTAAGGGAAGGTTGAGCAGGAGCCCCAGTCTGGACTGGAGGTGGGGGTGTCAGTCAAGACCTCTCATTAAGAAAGGGATATGTAAGGGGGTACTGCTGAGCAGCAGCTGGCTGGTATTTCAAATAGTGCCAGGCTAACTCACAAAAGTATGCTTTGATCGTTGAGAGTTGAGCTGCATTGTGGTTAATTAGGCCACTGTGACCGAACCGCATCTCAGAGACACTGGTGCCTCTGGATCAACATTTGTGGCTCCCTCCACCCCAAGTTCCACAAGAAGCTGATAGCAGACCAAGTCGGGCCTGCTCAGGGGGAGGCCCCACGCTCTTGCTGGCAGACAGTTCAGACATATTGGACACATCAGTTGTTTTTGCCAAAGAATTGCCTACAACGTGAGCTCTCACATACAAACAAAACACGTTACTTTCTGGAAGAGGAAAAGCTTAGTGTTTCAGGAGAGATGTGAATGCTGAAAGGCAGTGGATGGTTCTACTGAAACAGTAGATTGTAGATTGTTGTCCTGTCTCCCCTCCACCCCCCCTCCCACCCAATCATATGCTTCAAAAGGGCTTGGATTTCAGTCACTGCTGAAGTTACATCCAGAGTTTTTCATCCTGTCGCTGTGATTATGCCAGTGGGGTTGGTTGAAGAATTCTGAGAAATTCCAAGTACATCCTGTCTCTGATGGTCTCTGACAATTACCCCTGGGCAGCAATGTGGTGGTGTCGGGCTGTGGAAACAGGGACTGGTTTGGACCGAGAGAGCTTGTCTGGGGGTCTGGTCTCTGACTTTGCATTTTACTGGGCTGGGAACAGGACTACCCCTTTCTGACTATCCGTTTCTTCACCCATAGGCAAGTGACCTACCAATTCTTGTACCTCATGAGATTCTTGAGACATTGAATGGGAAGGCTATTTGATGAGATCTAAAATCCTATTACTAACTCCTTCTCCTGGAAGTGCTGATGGAGGCTCGGGAGAGAACCTGAGTATGGCTAGAGCAGCATTTGCTTTCCTCATCCCCCCGTTTCTTTTCACCAAGCTGCAACCTTGGGCCCTGCAGGTAATTGAAGGGCAAGTTCCTGTGGAAACGGAAACACATTGGGAGGAGAGAAAACGGATAAGGAGGTCTCCCATCACCTGTGGGGAGGGCCGAGGGAGGGAGGGAGGCACGAAGGGCTGAAAGACACTCTCCTCCCTTCTCAGTTTGCTGCGGATTCTGAGGGTTGGGCTTTCTCAGGGGTAAGGGTGTCTACTGCCTCTTTTGTCCACCTCTGTCCATTTGCTTGTGTTTGTGCTGTGGAAGCTGACCTAGTGTAAAGTAACATGCTTTGAAACGTATTTTTTGAAAGCAAAGTCAGGCTTTAATGATCCGTTTTCTTTCAAGGAAAGGCCATGTTTTGGTAAGATACTGTATTTCAATGGTTCCTATTCTTTGGCCCCAGCAAACATTCCTGGGTGGCTGGTTTTAGGAGAGGTTCCAATTTATTGCTCCTGGTGTCTGATAACCCTGGAGTTATCTGTCTACATGACCCCCAGGGCCCTGCTATTACAGAAAGTTGCAACACTTAAAATTATGCTCTGGTAAAAGCAAGTGCCACTAATTCTAAGTGAAGAGAGTGTTCCAAATAGGATTAGCTATGAATCTCAAAAAAAAAAAAGAAAAAAGGAGGGGGGTGGGGGAAAATCCAACACCCAAAGCAAAAGGCATTTCAACCGCAGGGGCCCCTCAGTGGAAACTCTGTGCAGCCCACCTTCTTCAGGCATGTGCACAGCCATTTAAAAAGATGTCTTCCGCAAAGTCTTGTAAATTAGCTATGTGGGCTCTACATGATGGACACGTTGTATCTGTAGGCCAATATTCGATCCAGGTCAAGGAATCTAAAGGGTAGATGTACCTGCCAGAAGAAAACGAAAACAAAGCCCTTGTGATTACAGCCACAAATAGAGAAAAGCAATAATTTATTTCCTTTTAGGAGCCCCCGTCCTGGTCAGGTACCCACAGGCCAAGTGGTCAGCTCTACTCTTGTGGACCAGCATCTACTGAGGTAGGCTCAGAGACCCCTGAGGAACAGGAAAGGTGTTTGGGACACTCATGTTTCAAAGGCTGGAATCGTGTCTATGAAACTGTGGTTCTCAGCCTTCCTTATGCCGTGACCCTTTCGTACAGTTCCTCATGTGGTGGGGATCTATAACATTGTTTTCGTTGCTACTTCATCACTGTCATTTTGCTCCTGGTATGAATCAGGCGACCCCTGTGAAAGGGTCGTTTGACCCTCAAAGGGGTCTCGACCCACAGGTTGAGAACCACTGGTCTATTCCTTAAAGTAAAGGCATAAATAAAATGTTTATGAAATGTTTTCTTTTTGAAAAACCAAAGTCGGAGAGCACACTGAGGGAGCAGTAGTGGTAGGAAGGAAGGTCAGCCACGCACACTCAGATTCATCCTCAGATTCAATCTTCAGACTGAGTTTTCTGGTCAGATAGAGTCTGGGGGAACCCTTGAGACTATGGCCCTTAGCCACCCTTCAGGTTTGGAAATGAATTCATCTCCATGGCCCAATTCTCAGCCAAACAGCCGACGGTCTATAAGAGGAATATCAACTCCGGAGAGGTAAGTACATCTTAAAATGATCAACCATTTGAGACCTAAAGGGCGGCAATTACCCAAGAACAAAGTTCAGGAGGCATAGGCAAGAAGGCGGAATGGAAGCCAGAAACACAGCACGGAAATAGGACACGCAGGGATTATTATCCATGACATGAAACAAAAAGTGTATGCATTGCTGAAAGGTGGGGGGATCTACTCTGTAAACTTCCACCCAATAGAAAATAAAAAGTAGAAAAACATTGTTTTAAACTAATTATGCATAATGATTTGTTGGTAGAAGTAGAGCACATAGGAAGCACTGAGAATTTAGGAATCAAATAGGACACGTTTTGGAGGGAAAATCGGAGATTCAGAGATATTGGTGACTTACTTGAAACTAAAATGGTATTTTATCTGGAGGGCTTCTTTACCCATAATTAAGTACTGTTTTCCTTTTTCCAGGTCAGCATTAGCACACGTGCTCTTTTTAATGAAGGTGATTTCAGAGTCTTTCTCGGCAAAGGCCTCCCCTGAAAGTCATACAACGAGGTTATCACACTGATGCTCAAATGTCACAATTATAAACTCCCTCCTGCTTTCTGCTTCCTCCTGGCTGGTTCTTAATCTATACAGGTTCATTTTGATAGGATAATGAGTATTCACAACTACAGCAAAAGAGCAAAACTTCCCCATAGGGTTTCCAAGGCTGCAGTCTTTAGGGCAAAGGAACTCTGATAGCAGAGGGTAAAGTGCTTAGCTGCAAAAGAAAGGTTAAGGATTGGAACTCTCCAGCCGGTGCTATGTGGGAGAAAGGCGTGGCAAACCACTTCTGTGAAGAGTACAGCCTTGACGACCTCGGTACAGATGTGCTGCCACAATGGATGTATGGGTTGTTACAAGAGCTTGAAGAAGCCCGATAAAATGATTTATATAAAAAAGAAAACATTACAGCCTTGAACAGTAAAGTGTTAGATCAGAGAAGGAAATTGTATTAGAGCTTGAATTCTGAACGCTTGGTTTATAGAAGGCTATGGATGACAGTGAACGTCCCAAATTCATTTGCCGCGTCCCACATGGGATAAGCCTCCCAGGAGTCCAGGTGGCACAGTGATTACGTGTGGGCTGCTTTATTGGGATAAATGTATTGCCAAGGAGAAGTCTGGGCCTTCAGCACAAGCTGTGAAGTTTACAGAAGTTCTATTGTCTATTCTATTCCCTTACCTCTGGGTAATGCAATACTGAGTGCTGGGGGCGCAGTGGTTGAAGTTGGTGGCTGCAGAAAAGAAAGATGTAGCTGCTTCTATAATCTTCTTGAAAGATTACAGCCTTGGGAAACTTTGGGGACGGTTCCACTCTGACCCACAGGGTCACATGAGTCCAAACCGACTCAATAGTAACGGGATTGGTTTAATACAATAACAGATATAAGCCAAGCAAATGACTTTAGATATTGTCTTCATAGATTTGGCATTTACTACCATCTGTACAGAAAACTCTAGGCAGGATTAAGTAATATTTTGACAAGTGGGAAAAGATTGCAATAATTAAAATTAGAAAAATGTTGGGATTTCAACGAGTGGCTGAAACTATAAAAGTTAGAACGGCAAAAGCCATTTGAAAATCATATCCAGTTTAAAAGATTCACTCTCCTAGACATTGAGAAATGGGAGTAAAAATTTAAGAAGTGAACATATATATATGCCTATGTGTGTATTTTTCAGTGAGTTGGCTATGGTATTCTAGCACCTAGAGCAATACTATCTTTAGTTGCTTAAGAGAAATACCGTTCAACTGCTACAGCTAAGAGATCAAAGAATAAATGGTAAAATTGCATACAACCAAGTAAAGCAAACTATATAAGTAAAGCAAGAGCTATTATAAAATGAAGAAATATGATATGTCATTAGAAATAAAATAAAATGTCCATGTGTACGAAAAAGTTAATCTTTTAAAAATGTTTATCTTTTAATGGTAAAAATGGGAAATAAAATTAATTTCCAAGGCTTAAAAACAGTTTGAATAGTGATAATTTGTCAAAAAGTGTTGGTAGAAAGAAAATGCTTTGGAAATGATGATGGCAACATATGTGCAAATGTGCTGATACAATTGATGCATGGATTGTTATAAGAGCTGTAAGAGCCTCCAATAAAATGATTTATTAAAGTAAAATAAAGTATTGGTAAAACATAAGAGGATTGAAAGGATATAAACTTAGGAAAATTATAATAGTATAACATTTCAGTAAATCATCTTCATAATTTAGCTGATAAAGCAGATACACTGAATACACAGAAATGTATCATACACACGAGAAGCATTTTGAAGGTAATTAATGCTGCTGCGGTTAGCTGCCATTGAGTTTGCCCCTTACATTGGCTACCCAACGTACACCGGGACCAAATGGGGCCCAGGTACAGACTGAACACTTTGAACCATAAGATATATATGTATTTCCCCCCATAGGCTGATTTTTTAAAGTATAATACTAGGCCTTTCTTCCAAACTATCACCTAAAAGAGGCTGTTATCACACTGAAGTATTTCCCCCAATTAATTCCACGTCTCTCTCATAAGTGAGGAGGCTTCAAAAGCTTATGGAATGCAAACATCAGTCTCCACAGTCCTGAGACCAGAGGCACCAGATGGTGCCCAGCTACCACCACCAACTGCTCTGAACAGGTTTCACATGGGAAAGCCCGGATGGAGTGGGTGAAATGCAGAAGAGAATGCAACCCGCCAAAGAGAGCAGGCTTATTGGTCAGGTAGCGACTGGTGAGACCTTCTCAAGATGACGACGGCCGGCCTTTAGTTCCCCTTCAAGCCTGGAGCCAAACGCTCCCTGTGTTGGAAGGGTCAACCACGAAGATGAAGAGCAGCATCTCCCACGGGCAGAGGGGGAGGGAAGAAGGAGCAACGGAAACAGGGCGCACTAGAAGCAATGATACATCGAGGGGACGGGACGGATGAATGGAAACAAAGTGAGTATGGATCGTTGAATGTGAAACTGATGATCTGTGACGTAGACCTTCATCTGAATCATCATAAAAGTGTTTCTATTTTAAGCTCGTGGAGTCATTTCATTATGTTAATTCACTTTCCCCATGAAGTTTTGAAGTACTTTCATATAATACTTATTTATAATTATTTAACGAATCATTTGATTATTTGTCCATCTCTCTCTCTTTTTAATGTGTCTCCCAAGTAGAATAGAAGTTTTGTGAAGGCAGTAAAAGAACTCTGGGAGTCCTATTCAAGTTTTCTCTGCTGTGTCCAAAATGATGTCTGGCACACGGTAAGTACTAACTAGATGTTGGGAATGAATTCTCACCTGTTTTGAAGACATCCAGAAGAGTTGCAGTGTATTTGACAAAAGCATTTTCTTCAGTGATGGCTGTGATTCTAACTTGATAAGCTGGTAGAAACAAAAGTAATTCATGTGTAATGTCATTCATGTTCAAAAGAAGACAGACTTTGTCAAACAACTGAGAAACAAAGCCTGGCCAGCTATTAGGGGAACCATAACAAAGGAGAGTTAATTTTCCCCCCAAGAGACCTGCCCTAATCCCCACAGTTGAATTCAATCTCTCAATCTACCTTAGAATCCTTGGAGGTGGCTACTGTAGGCTGATAAGAATCAAGTTAAATTTAAATAGAATCACACATACAATGATAAAACAGAAACCCATGCAACAAAGCAACCCAGTAAACCTTAGTTAGCCATCAAGTTGAGAATCTGAGCTAGATCAGTGGAGGAGGGCCCAGGGAAGTGAGTTGAGATGGCATGGGCACTGACTCCTCTGGGACCACAGGGTACCATGCAGCTCTGCCATGTCACCATAGTCATTCCCTTGCCTTGGTGGAATTCTTACTCCTTCTGGCAGTCATCTGAACTTGAGCCACCCCCAATCCTGTTTTCTGCTTATTCACACATGGATGTTTAGTCTGTGGTGTGTCTGTCTGACTCCAGCCCTGGAATGACAAGTTTTAAGGGACCGAGCCTTTCTCTGTGGCTTGAGAAATGATGCTTTTAATTTTTGTTTTTGATGGGCTTGAAGTAAACGACCTAAAAGGCTTCTTCAGTTTTGGGATACTCTTAATCTATGAAATTCTCAGCATCAAAGGCAAGTAGATAGATAGATAGATAGATAGATAGATAGATAGATAGATAGATAGATAGATAGACAGACAGACAGACGGACGGACGATAGAAGATATAGAGAGGCAGATAGCAGAACTATCGGCAGAAGCAAAGGGTCTGGGAATTAGGAGCTTACAATTGAAAAATTCCCTGAATTTCAGAAACTATCGGTAGGAAAGGAAAGAGCAACTTCTATCAGGGGTTTGAGGCAAGGCTCTATTCTATTTGCACATTCAATTGCTTTAAGCTCTAGACCCCAGAAGGAGGCCTTTTTAAAGGGAGAGGGTCTCAACTATCATCTGTACTCTATATGCATTAACATGACTTAGTAAATTATATATTTATTTAATTTTTGAAGAGATTTGTAAAATAAAATGAAAAACCCCAAGCCACTATTGCCTCTGCTGAGTCAACTAGAAGACTGTAGTTGTGAAGTCTTGGCCCCTGCGGCTTCTCAGAAGGTCTCTTGGAATACGTTCTCATGTCTTTAATTCAAAGGCTTTATCAGAATAAAGTGTCTTGGCTGGATGGCAAGGTGACGCCTATTATTTTAAATGGAAATCACATTTCTTTTCTAAAGGCTAAATCACTTTGCGTGCGAATGCTGAACATAGATGGCATGTTTTTCTCTGAGGGCACACATGGAATGTTGAATTCACATGATCATGGCATAAAGTTTTTTATTCTTCCAACTAGATCGGATATTCATAAGTTTCATGCTTAGAGGAACTATACATTGCACTTTTGAACTTACCATATGCAATCTCGGGTTTACATGCTGTTTCTTTTCTAGTGTCTGCGGAGATTGTCAGATCTAATTCTTTCTGCATTTGTCCACAGTCGGCTGGATTTTGGGAAAAATGGTAATAGTTTAATGTAAAGGAGCAGACACTTTCTCTTTGGAGAACAAAAAACCAGTTTCTTAAGAGCCCTGGAACAAGCCAATCCAATCTCACAAATCCCAGATCCTCAGACCCGGCAAGTCTTCCACTCCCAGAAAGTACAACATTACATGAAGCAGAACCAAAACAAAACAAATAAAGTTACAAAACTAAAAATAAAATCCTGAACAGAAGGCTCATACTGCGGGGGGTTACTTCTCAGCAATACGCACATGCTCTGCTCTTTGGAAACGCATATGCTTCCCTTGAAGAAAGGGTGTGTGTGTGCGTTTTTCCATTATGAGTGTGATCAAGGGTCATATATCTCTTGAAGACCCAGTAGTGGTGATTTGGCTGATTCACATCTATCAGATGGTGCAACAAGGATCTAGGAACAGATACTTATTGCTGCTGCCACCACCGCCACTGCCACAGCAACACCAACAATCTCACCACAACCCAGGCCTTTGTGAATCCAGTTGCTGGTGACTGGTGAATTAGGGCGCTTTCCTAAGAAAACTATCTTAGATTTACAAAAGACTGAGTGGAACCAGGCAGTAACCAGAGAATTCCTTTAACTGAGAAGGATAATGGGAAAGGAAAGGGAGCCAGTGGTTCAGTCCCGAGCCTCTGGTCTTCTAGGCTATGCCCCTCCTATCACGTTAAAAAGACTTGGTGACCAGCGTGCGCTCTTCCTTTTCCTGCTTCACCTTTCTGCAGCATCAGCCTGCAGCTACATGAACCTGAAGAAGGCTCTGACTTGCATCAGACTTGTGGACTTGTGTTAGGCTGGTTTGGGATGCCGTTCTTTTGCTATCAAATACTTCTTGATAGAAAGCTCTTTCTTAGCTGATGGTGTCCAGCTATTAAAAGATATAGCATCTGGGGTCTTAAAGGCTTGAAGGTAATCAAGCGGCCATCAAGCTCAGGAACAACAAAGTCCACATGGAACAACATATCAGCCTGTGTGATCACGAGGTGTCGAACGGATCACTGAAGACAAATGGGTGCATAAGCAAATGTGGCGAAGAAAGCTGATGGTGCCCGGATATCAAAAAGTATAGCGTCTGGGGTCTTAAAGGCTTGAAGGTAATCAAGCGGCCATCAAGCTCAGAAGCAACAAAGCCCACATGGAAGAAGCACACCAGCCTATGCAATCACGAGGTGTCGAAGGGATCAGGTGTAAGGCATCATCAGAACAAAAAATCTTACCATAGTGAATGATGCGGGGAGTGTGGAGTGGAGACCCAAAGCCTATTAGTAGACCACTGGAGATCCCCTTGCAGAGGGGTCTCAGGGAGGAGACAAGCCAGTCAGGGTGCAATGTAGCAACGATGAAAAATACAACTTTCCTCTAGTTTCTAAATGTTTCCTCCCCGCTCCCACTATCATGACACAAATTCTACCTCGCAAGTCTGTCTAGACCAGAGGATGTACACTAGTACAGATAGGAACTGGAAATCCAGGGAATCCAGGGCGGATGATCCCTACAGGACCAGTGGTGTGAGTGGCGATACAGGGAGGGTAGAGGGAGAGTGGGTAGGAAAGAAGGAGCTGATTACAAGGAACTATATGTGACCTCCTCCCTGGGGGACGGACAACAGAAAAGTGGGTGAAGGGAGACGTCGGACAGGGCAAGATATGACAAAATAATAATTTATAAATTATCAAGGGCTCACGAGGGAGGGGGGAGCAGGGAGGGAGGGGGAAAGTGAGGACCTAATGCCAGGGGTTTAAGTAGAGAGGAAATGTTTTGAGAATGATGAGGGCAATGAATGTACAAATGCGCTTTACACAATTGATGTATGTATGGATTGTGATAAGAGTTGTATGAGCCCCTAATAAAATGGTTAAAAAAAAAAAAGAAAGCTCTCTCTTATGCATAGATGGGCATCACTGGATTTGTTTCTTACCAAATCAATCTTCATAAAATGGCCAAAAAAATCTGGTGAAAAGTACAATACAATTCAGTTAATATTCAGATCCTGTTAACTTTATGGTATCAAAGAACAGGCTATGGACCATTTCTCTGGTCTGGAATGGTACAGACCATTAGGTGTCCAGGAGATGCAGAGAGATAGCTTTCAATCAGCTGAGATGACATTTCTACTTCTGAGAAGGGCAGCTTATCCAGCTCTTTGCTTCAGGTTAGCCCTGGATTATGGGGGGCTGCTCTAAGCCAGGACCCAACCCAAACATGTCACACAAAGCTTACCTTCTACACACTGGCACGTTGCTCCTTCACAGACTTTCTGCAGCTTGGTTTGGGATGGGTTATAAAACATGGTGCACTGCTTATCTGTGGCAACGAAAGTGGGGTTCAGGGAAGTGGCGTGGTGGTTGCACAACACATGACTATTCTGAATCCTTCTTTTTCGAGCTAAGGCCCAGGGTGGTCATTGACTTTCTGGTTCACCCACTGAGATTGTGGTGGAGCAAAGGTTGGGTTGCAGGTCTCTTTTTCCTATTAATCACTCCCATTCAAAATTTCCATATAGCTGACTGTGTGGTAGGAGCCCTGGTGACATAGTGGTTTCATGTTGGGCTGCTAACTGCAAGGTCAGTAGTTCGAAACCACCAGCTGTTCCGAGGGAGAAAGAAGAGACTTTCTACTCCTGGAAAGAGTTTCAGTCTCAGAAAACCCACAGGGACAGTTTCTGCCCTGTCTAATAAGGTCACTATGAGTTGGAATCCATATGAGGGCAGTGAACTTGACTGTGTGCGCAGCAGCTAGATATCCGATTAGCAAGCAGATTGCTGAAACAACCCCTCCAGGAAAGAGGCCAAATGTCCCAGTACACAAAACCATACAATGATGCTATGGGAACAATGGAAGGCCATCAGAAAGGAGAAAAAGCAGAATTCTGACCCTGTACCGGGATAGATTCAAGATAGAGCTGATCTAGCTGTAAATTGAATGAAATGAAATTAAGAAGGATCTATGAAAGGCCTATAAGATATAATTTTAAAGAATCTTATTGTGAAGAAAGTCTTTCTGAGATGCAGGTCCAGATGTGATTAAATAGAAAGTAACATATTAAAATACAGAAAGGCTTACAATACAAAATTTAATATTAGGTATAATATTCAAAATAGAATGAGCTGGGGGAAATATTCATAATATATATCACAAGCCAATTTTAGAGAGTGTAATGGATGAGATGTTTAACTTGTGACATTCTGCAGAAGAGCAGCGTTAAATAGCTAATGGCAACTAGATGGCTTGAAAGTGTAGGCCACGGTGGATGACATGGGAGAAGGCAGAGCTGGTCTTGTTTAGCTGGAGAAGGTAGTATGTGTTGGCTGTCCTGGGCAAACTGATCTCCTCTTGTTGCCTAGTTATGTGATTGGAATTTTACTATAATACCTCCGATTTTGAGGATGAAATATTTGTACTTGCATGAATTAGAGGAAACTAAATGTTACATGAGAATCTGTTGCAAGAATTGTAATTTGGGGGGATGAGGAAAAAGAGAAGCCTGTATATATACGAAGGGGCTTCAAAACATTCTTGGGAAAAATGGAATTAAAAGAGAATGCAATTTTCCATGAACTCTTTGAAGCCCCTTTGTAAAGCAAGGGATGTATAGCTGGGCATATTCTAAGTGGTTTCAGAAAAGAAAACCAGGATGGATGAGTGTCCATTTGGCTCAGCATGAAGACTGGTCAAAAACGCTACTAGATTCCAGTTCAGACACGCACAAATTCATGTTTAAGCATGTCTCTGCAATCCGTGGGTGGCTGCAGACCAAGTTCTCCCAGGGGGAATTTTCCTTAGTCTTGTTATGGTGTTTTTGTTGTTGTTGGTTTTTATTTATTCATTTTTTGTTATGGAGCTTAAAAAAAAAGTCCAATCAAAACAGCGTTTCCAGAAGGATCTTCTGGGTCAACTAAACGCAAGGCTGAGAATATCAGAATTTCCTTACAACTGGAACCAGGCTGCCCTGGGAACCAATGATCTGCCAATCAGTTAACCTTCTCAGAAATGGCTAAGTGATCAAATGCTGAAATAGCGCTGTCTGCAAAGGGTGCTGAGACGCTAGATGGGACAGACCTTGATTCTGGAAGCATTAAGAGTGGGACAGCACGTGAGAACCCAAAAAGAGGAGAGACCGGTGGATATTGAAAATGAACACCAAGATAAACAGAGCAGTGAAAGAAGGGGCTTACAGGCCTGCTGAGGTTTCTCTGCTGAACTTGGGTGATTTTGTGATAAGTGAGCCCCAAGAGAGGCAATATACAAAACAGGAAGCTGGCCTCAAGTAGATTTCTAAAGATTCCATAAAGATAGGAAGTAAGTAGTCTGGAGACATGTCAGACTGGCGCTCATTACCAGGTTTGTGGTATTCATAGACTGTGAAAGTCGCGGGACTCACAAATCCAACTTGGAAAAGTTCAAATATCTGGAAGCGGACGCAGAGGAACTCTTCAGAGGGAATCTGTTGGACACATTCAAGGAGTTAAGGAAATCCTGGCTAAGAAGATCCGCAGAATAACTTACCCTGTGACGGTAATTGAAAAATGGAGGAGGGTTGGCGCTCACCGAATTAATTTGCAGAATAACATGTCCATCTTTGATTTGGTAATTAGCTGCTAGTTGATCCACCCGTTCCACCAGCTGAGAGAGGAAAGAGGAAAACTTGAACTTTCTTTTACTGCTTTTTGGGTGAATGTATACGCCTACTGATGGATGTTAGGTCACAAGGATGTGCTCCAGTAGTTAAAGAGGGAGGACAACACTCCTCTTTCTGGCAAAGTCGGAGCACACGTGCTCCGTCTTTCAGATCCTGCTGTGACGTGCCCCTGCTACTGGCCTTTGGGAAGTTGAAACTTAGGTAGGTTGTTGGCGTGGGGAGCACACTGGATGGATCTATGAAATTTTAGACTTGAGCCAGTGCCCTGGCTGGTGGTCTTAATAGGAGGTCTAATATCTCGGTGAGTCTATCAATGTGAGAGCAAATGATCTGTGACATAATGTAGGAAAGAAACGGAAGAACTGGCAGTTCTAATGAAAAGAGAGAAGTTACAGATTTCAAGTCTTCCGTGTTTGCGCTCATTCCGGTCGGCATGGCGATGTCCATTACTGCGTGGGAAGACCCGGACGCTGACTCTTCCTGGCTGGGCTGATAGCTAAAATAAGGTCGAGATCAGAAAATGGGGTAAATAATGAATACGATTCTTGACGACAAAGCTGATTGCTTAGTGGGCTTGGATTTTATCATATGGATATTTGCTCCCCTCCCCCTGTACGCGTTAGAATCACTAAAGATGAGTTAGAATCACCAAAGCGTGGAGTCGCAAAAAACCTTTTGAGAGTCATTTGTTCTAACCTTTTACTCCCTTGACCAATCATACCAGTATGCCACCATGCTGGAGCTGAAAGGAATCCTGGAAGTCAGTCACTTAACTAAGGGAGGACTCTAAGGGTGATAGTAAGACATTTGTTCAAGGTAACATGGTGTTACGGATTGAATGAGATCTTCTCAAAATACTTCATGGAACACTAACTCCCTATATATGTGCATAAGGAGCTCTGGCTGCTCAATGGTTAAAATGCCCAACTGCTAACCAAGAAGGTCAGTGGTTCAAATCCACCAGTCGTATCACAGGAGAAAAGACCTGGTGATCTGCTCTCCTGCTACTGTGTGACCTCCAGTCGATTCTGACTCATAGCGACCCTATAGGACACAGCTTAGCACCCCACGGGGTTTCCCAGGCTGTAATTTTCACAGGAATAGAGCACCAGGCCTTTTCTGTTCAGAGCAGCTGGTGAGTTCAAACCAGTGAATGACCTTTGGGCTATCAGTTGAATGCCGAAGCATTGTACTGCCTGGAAAGACTGTTGTTATTATGTGCTGTTGGCTCGAACCCATAGTGACCCCATAGACAATAGAACAAAACTGCCTGGTCCTGCACCATCCTCACAATTGTTGCTATATTTGAGTCCATGGTTGCAGTCACTTTGTCAATCCATCTCATTGAGGGTCTTCCTCTTTATTGCTGACACTCCACTTTACCAAGCATGGTGTCCTCTGTCGTGGACCTGTGCAGATTACAGCCTAGGGAACTCTATGGGGCAGCTGTACTCAGTTGTATAGGGTTGCTATTGCAATCCATCAGAGAGCACATGATAACAACAAGAGTAACAATAGCATACGGGCGGGATACGAATGTGACTGTATCATTCTAGCGTGTCTTAAATCCATCACAGAAGCAAGCCAGCCCAGATGAGAGGAGACAGATGTCATTCCACATGAAGAATGCCCAAGAACCAGGGAGCCTGTACCCATAGCTGACAGAGGAAGAAAGCCTTCTCCCAGAGCTCGTCTCCTAAACTGAAAATTAAAAAAGTAGATGTTCATAAAAGCCACCGACTTGTGTTATTTCTGTTACCGTGGCACTAAGACACTAAGACATGTGGCTAGCTCATGTCCAAGCTTAACCTGCGTCTCTTGATTCTCACTCTGGCTCTTTTTCTAATGAAGCAAATTCAGAAACAGAAAACTAAATATATTTGGGGAACATGTCTAGGAAAAGACTGGCAGAAAATACCAGCTAAATGCTAGCAGTTGTTTTCTCTGGTGATCAGACTATAACTGATTATCCTCTTCTTCTTCCTACTTACTTTTCTGTTTTCCACTAGGATCACAATAGAGTCTTTATTAATTTAAACAAATGATTCAAGGCCTAGCCCTTGTCTAGGGGTTGTGCTGGTGGGAAGCTGAGGAGAAAGGCAAAGGGAGTAGCATGGGAATTTTTGTTTTTTAATAAGAGAAAAGAATACTGAAATAGGGAGACAGAAAACTTGGGTCTTATCCCAGTTCTACAGAGAGACTTCTATGGATCAGTTCCACTTTCTCGAGCACAGCCTCCTATTTGTAAGCTTAATTTTGGTGAAGGATACATTTATTTTAAATATATATATATTTAAATATATATATATATATTACAATCCCCAGGCTTTGATTTTGGGTGATAGAGGCTGGGTGTTACAAGGAAGTCAAGTTACAGGACTTAAAAGAGGGGTGGGTGGTGTGGCAGGATCGGGGGCAGAAGTTGGGGTGGGGTGGAATGGGAAGATGATTCTAAAAGGTGGGCAAAACAAACAAACAAACAAAAGAACCAATCTTACCTAAAAGAATGATGTAAGTTAGTGTAAGTTAGTAATGTAAGTTAGTGAGGGGTGGGGGATACCTTTTCCCCAGTCACACCTAATATTCCATAGATAAAGAAGATCCTAGTAGAAAATTTAGATAGAATGTTTTCCAGGATAATTAAAGAATTATGAAATCTCTAACCCATAACACTTAACGTATTCCTCACCAAATTAGCATATAACAATATAGGGCGTCCTGGAACTAGGATATGCTGTCTGGACGTCTGACTCCCTGTGTGGATGGGACGCAGAGAAAGAACTCTTGCTCACAGATTCGAACACTGTCGGGGGCTGGCAAAGGGCCTCTGCATGAGTGGAGAGTGTCGGTGAAAGGCTGCGGGAGCCTGGGTGACGGTTGCCACGAGACGGTTTTAACCCTGGAACCTAAACCCTCCTTTCAAGAAGCTCTTTGCCTGCTGCCAAAGACAGCAAGCTTCCCCCAGAGAGTTTTGTTCTGAGAGAAGGAGAGAAAGAAAATCTTCCCTGCCCCCTTTTTCTTAGGGATACAACAAAGATGCTGGAAAAAGCTAGATCCACGAAAGAGGTCCTTTGAACACGGGAAGTGTGTTCTAGCACTTTTAATCGGGAGAGAGACTGTTGGAAGGCAGAGGGCTTCTCGCACGCATAAGGGCTGCTTAGCTGCTCTGGAGTGAACCCAACCTAACTTCTGTGTCACAGCACCAGGCGCATGGTCCACCCATCAGTTATGAACATTCTGTTCCCAATTTGTAGAAGCCAAAGGCTAGAAGACTCAACTTCACATTTCTATTTGCTTGCTTTTGGAAGTTGGAATTAGGCCTCTTGTCAAATCAAAGGAGTCAGCGTTCAGTAAAAGTCTTTCTGTTTACTCTTTTTTATTTCCTATTTTTCTTTTCTTTTTCCACCTCCACGGTTTTATTGGGACAGACTCCACATATAATACCATTCAGTAGTTCCATCGCATCAAGAAGAGTTGTATAACCATTACCACAACCCATTTGAGAACCCTGTCTTTTTTAAAAAAATCATTTTATTAGGGGCTCATACAACTCTAATCACAATCCATACACACATCAGTTGTGTAAAGCACATTTGTACATTCACTGCCCTCATCGAGAACCCTGTCTTTTTGTACTCCTGGGTCAAAGTCTTTTGAGAAGAGGGTAAGCCCTGACATATTGCTACTAGAATTCTAGTTCCTGCACTCACGAGTTCTTCTCAAATAAAAGCTGTGAAACATGTCTCTGTGAGTAACGGAGGGCTGAGGTCTCATTAGGCTGCCTTCAAAAAAAAAAAAGAAAGGAGAAAAAAACTTTTTGAAGTTATGAATAAAATCAAATTTTTAACAAAACTCAACTTCTGTACCATTGAAGCTTTGCAATAAGTTCACAGGAACACTACCTCACATGCAACAACTGTTTTTAGATGCCACAGCATTTTAAGGAAGCTTGGAAAGACACTGCCAACCAGCAGTGGAATGTGAAGGTCATAGGTTAAAAAAATGAAAATACATATGAGTGTTGAGTATATATATATATATTTGCAAGTACACATGTATAAAACATGTATAGAATATGTGCATATATACCTACATACCTTAAGACCACAAGTGCTGAAGACTACGTCTATTACAATAAACTTTTGAGATACATACAATAGTTCATAATAACAAACAGGTGTTACTTTGTGACTTGCATCAACACCTTATTATTACCATCATTACTATATGATTACATTAAGGATGCTTTAGTGTATTTAGAAGCGTTTCTTTAGAGGCTTTATGCATAGAAAGGTGCACACATACTAAGGCACACATTTGACTTGCTATTTGATATGAACTGTGCCTAACAGAGCAGTGTGCATACATATTTGCCTTAACGACAGCTAGGCAGGGTCTTGTTTGTACTGCAGGAATTGCCTGGACAATGATCCTTATAAGGGTAAGAAGAGGCAGGAGAATCAGGGAAAGGCATGTTGTCATGGAAGCTGGGGTCCAACACGAGTGAGTGCGACGGCAAGAGAAAGAGAGAGAGACTGGAAGCTGCTGCCTTGCTGAACGTGAAGATAAAAAAGCAGTTCTGAACCTGTGGATCCAAGGAATGCAGATGCAGTCTAGAAGTTGGAAAGTGCAAGAACATGGACTTCCCTAGAGCCTCCAGCAGGAACAGTCTGCCGACACCTTGGTGCTAGAACTTCTGGCCTTCAGAGTTGTAAGATAATAAATTTGTGACGCTTCAAATGACTAAGCTTGTGGTAATCCACTGTAGCAGCAAAGGGAAATGAATAAAGTGCTCCCTGTCATGAGTCTGTGGGTTCCCTGGATGGTCAAATGGCTCGTGCACTTGATGGCAGTTAGCCAACAGGTTGGTGTAAGCTCTCCCAGGTCCCTCGGAAGAAAGGCTGGCGATCTGTTTCTGAGAAACCAGCCACTGGAAACCCTTTGGCGCACAGTTCTGCGCTGACCCACATGAGATTGCCAGCAGCTGTAACACACTCAGCGGCGGCTGGTTTCAGTGAGTCTGCAGAGGGTTTGGAATCCCCAGTCTCAAGCCTGGCTACCGTTAGAAATGATCTCTGTGGTGAGGTCTGAACTGGGGGACTTTCTGAAAGCGCGCCTGCTGACTTCAGTGGGCCAGTAAATGGCCAGGGGTCTCGGTCGGAGATCAAGATATGTCTCAGTAAGAGAGTGGAATTGCCGATCATCAAATCTTTTGAGTTTTCTTTCCTGGATGCTTGCACATCTCTATTTTCCAAAAGACAACAAATAAAAATTTTTAAAAAGTTAATGGGATTTGAAGTAGAAAGAAAACCAAAGTTGGTAGAGAAAAGCAATATACAGTGAACCCTCGCCACTTCACACTTCGACTTCTGTGGCTTCACTCTATCGCGGTTTTTGCGTAACAGCGCATGCTCTGTCATTACTGCCACTGATTGGCTCATACTGTACACGCTTCTGTCTGCAT